TTAATACTAAATACAAAGACATGAGTCCCAAATGTGTTTATTAATACAGACCCTCTGCTACCTTAGTTTCTAGTAGAAAGACAATCTAGTGAGAAATCCATGCATATATACTATTACTCTCAAAATACTATATGCCATAAGATTTTTCAAGCCTTTTAGTTTTATTTTTTATATTTTGGTTATCAAGAAAAACGAAACTCTATGTATATATATATATATATATTGATAGGCAAAGAAAAATTTCTTAACTTGAGAGTAAATTACCATATAGTATATGATGTTATGATTGGATATACTTTTTGCATTAGCTTTATTTATTGATGAATTGTATTTGTTGTAACTATGTGTGTGTTCATTAATAAAGTTCTTCTTTGTTAAAAAAAAAAAAAAAACTATATGGATTATCATCTATTTATGTGAATGTGAATGCTCATAAATGGTTCTTTTTATAAATGAATAATCACTAAGACAATTTAAAGTTTTAGAGACAATATATTTAGGAACAGAATCATTTTTTAAAGATGAAATATTTCAATCACCAAAAATATCACTGTTGTATTTTTAGCGACGAAATTGAATATTTAGTGGTGATTTACTATCCTTTTGGGAACAATTTTTTGTCTCAAAAAGTATACATTTTTTGCACTAAATTGTTTTGTTTTTAAAAGTCCACTTATAGGCGACATTTTTAAATTTTATCTCTAAAATTTTTACTTTTGTGACGATTTTTTAGCGACTACCTTTACAATGACAGGCATTGGTGGAAAATTTATGGAAAATACAACAGATGCTTCAAGATTAATTTTTTGGATTCACCAAGCAATCAGAATGAAAAAAATTGTGGAACTTGCAAGTAAATAATACTAATATATATTCAATGGTTATAAATTCTAATTTTTTCAAAGAATTCTATGATTAGATTGAAAAAGTAAGAATTAGAATAATAACGGGGAGAGAGAGTTGCACAGCAGCTTGTCTTTTTTTTTTTTCCTCTTTTATAGGGGCGGGTTGGGTTGTGAGAGGAAGGAAGAGAGAGAGAGAGAGAGAGAGAGAGAGAGAGATTTTTATTTATTTATTTATTTTTTTTTTTTGGGGGGGGGTGGTTCTTCTCTTCTCTTTAAGACACAAGCACATTAAAATTCTTCATGTATTGCCAAAAAAAAAAAAAAAATGATATCCAAAAAAATTATTCTGATATTAACTCAAAAAATGAGTGTTTTGTGTTGGACCCACACATTTAAAGGAAAAATTACAATTCAATGCATTGTTTCCAAAATAAATTTCAAATGAGTAGTAAAACTTACCAACTATAGTAATTGAAGTTATAAATTTTTCCATGACTATAATTTTTTTTTTTTTAAATCTTACAACTGATTTACAATTTCCCCAATTTTAAAATATGGGTGTTCATTCTTTGTTTAATGTATATATATTTATATATATATATATTTTTTTGATTCAGCAAAGAAAATCTTTATTGATGATGAAGCAATACATTACATGTGGGAGTTCAACAATAAGGATGAGAAAGAAAAAATGAGAAAAAAGGATAACCAAGCATAGTGTTGGTGAGAAACCAACACTAGCTCACAGGACCACAAACATTCCTAGGAGCAGAGCAGATCAGCAGCAAAGCAGATCAGCATCCAGAAAACCACAGTCCAGAACATTGATAGCAGAAGAATAGCAGATTCACCTGGAACAAAATCTGATCAAGAGCAACACTCCATTCACAAGACTAATATAACAGTCCACCACCAATCAACCAGCAAAAGGCCACACAATGACACAGCACCAAAGGCACACAGCAGAGTTACCAGTTCTAGCAGATACACAACCTCCACAAAGTACAACCAAAGCCAGAACATTGACAACAAAAGAATAGCAGCCACTTACACATTAGCCTCAGCCTCACAAATAGTAGAGCTACCATTTCTAGCAGATACACATCACAAACTAGTAAACCAACGACTAGTAAAAAGCACAACACAACCTAGATACATAGCACAACTAGTAAACCAACAACCTAGTAGACACCAAAATGCCTGATAGATACAGCATTGAGACAGATAGATACACAATCAGTAGACAGATACCCTGCTAGAATTGAAATAGCAAAACACCACTAACAGCAACAAGTAAATTATAGACCAGCTCACAACACATGGTGGCAGACCAACAGGAATTGCCCAAACCAGCATAGCCTGGAGTGAAGCAGCTATTCACCAAAATAGCAAATTAGCAGACCAACAAAATCCAAAATTCAAAAAGCCCTCAAAACTCCCAACCAACAGCCAGCATATGACAGAACAAATCTCAGTTGCAGTCCTTAATTTGTTCTAGATTGTTGATTAAGTCCATGGCAGAGTACATGATCCCCTTTTATGAAGCTTTAACCCAAAGTGCAAATCTAACCTTAATAGTTTCACATAACTCAAACCCACTAGGCTAGACTCCATTAAACACACAATCATTTCATAACTTCCAAATGGACCAGAGAATAATATAAGGTATGGCCCTCCACAACCTCCTAACCAATTTCTTATGATTCCAGCCTAACCACCACTGGAATAAGCACTCAATAGACTTTGGCACCACCCACAAACACCCCCACCAATGCAGCAAATCAAACCAAACTTTCCATGAAAATGGACAGTGTAGCAGAATATGAATAGCAAATTCATTTTCACTTTTGCAAAAAGCACATAAAACAAAAACACTACTATTAAGGGCACGAACATGTTGTAAAAAAAACCCTGTTTTAACTCTATTCCTCCAAACTAACCAACCAAAAAATTGAACTTTGGAGGGAATACCATTGTTCCAAATAAACTTACAAATTTTGATATAAGGGCCCAAAAGGGAATCACTGAACCTATAGAGATCAGATACCTTAAAGTTACCTCTAGTAGAACCATTCCAAACACGACAGTCTTCAACATCAGGGCTTAGAAAAAGAGGTCTCCGTCAATGCTACCACCAACCTATTGACCTCTACTTTCACCTAATCAAATAACACCCTTTTGAAGACAAAATTCCACTCCACCAATCTGGATTTCCTCCCTAAAAAATAAGCCAGTGTGCCCTCCTTGTCATTTGACAAACTAAAGAGTCTAGGGAACTCATCTTTAAGGCACTTATTTCCAACACACTTATCAAACCAAAACTTAATTCTATGCCCATTCCCAACCTTTATCTGATACTGCCCCAAAAAGAACTCCACCAGAGGTTGATTATGTCCTACAATTGAAAGAACATCTCTCCAAATTCTAGATTGTCTAGATGATGAGTGCACATGTGGTATCCAACTAGCCTCCTCAATCATGTACTTACTGCACACCAATTTTCTCCATAGAGCATTTACTTCACTTTAAAATTTCCACCACCATTTAATAAGTAAACTTCCATTGACATCCTTAATTCTCCTAATCCCCAGTCCTCCTTGATTCATATTTTTGGATGCCTCCACCCAATTCACCAGATGAACCTTTCTCTTTAACTCGTTCCCAACCCAAAGGAAAGAAGCTTCAAGCCTTTCAATTTCTCTAACCACTCCACTAGGCATTTTGAACAAAGATAGATAATATATAGAAAAGCTAGACAGTACAGACTTAATCAAAGTTAATCTACCTACAAAGGAGAGGAGCCTTCTCTTCCACCCAGCCAACCGAGATTTTACCTTATCCAAAATTGGCTTCCAGGTTGATTTCCTTCCTGGATTGGCACCTAAGGCAAGACCCAAAAATTTGAGTGGCAAGCCATGAACCTTGCAGTTTAGAATATCAGCGAAAGAAACCAAAGTTTCCTCATCCACATCCACACCACACACCACACTTTTGTGGAAATTTATTCTCATTCCAGACAATATTTCAAAACTTCTTAAGATCCTCTTTGTGTGCACTATTTGATCCATATCTGCCTCACAAAATATAATGGAATCATCAGCAAATTGGAGATAGGATATCACTACCTCTTTTACCCCCACTTTTACCCCCTTAATAATGCCTTCCTCGTAAGCTCTGCTCATTAAGATATTCAGACCTTCAGCCACTATGCTGAATAGAAAATGAGAAAGAGAATCACCTTGTCTGAGACCTTTTTGTGGAGAAAACTCCTCCGTTGGAGAGCCATTCACTAAGACAGACAGCCTTGCTGTAGAAATACATTCTTGTATCCAGGATATCCACTTAGCTCCAAAACCAAAATCAGATAACATAGAGAATAGGAATTCCAAATTGATTGAACCATAAACTTTCTCAAAGTCCGGTTTGATAATAACACCTTTTCTTCTAGATTTTTTCCATTCATCAACTATTTCATTAGCAACAAACACCCCATTCAATATACTTCTTCCCCCCAAGAAAGCAGATTGTGTTTCCCCAATAACTGCAAGAAGAACTTTATTGAGTCTATGAGCCAGAACTTTAGAGAGAATTTTGTACAAACTACCCACCAAACTAATAGGTCTGTAATTACACAGACCACAGGGATTATCATTCTTAGGAATAAGGGTAATAAATGAATTGTTAATCCTATAGGGAAGCTTGATAAAAGCATGAAATTCTCTCAAGAAATGCATAACCTCATGATGAATAACATCCAGAATTTCTGAAAAAAAAAAAAGATTAAACCCATCCAAGCCTGGAGCCTTATCACCATTGCACTCCTTAACAACCGTCCTTACTTCGTTTTCAGTGAACACTGCTTCAAGATCATGAAATACAGAACTTGCTTGCACTGACTTAAACAATCCTCCTAGAACTGGTCTTCTTACCCAACTTTCAATGAACTGCCTCTTGAAATGTTGTAAGACTTCATACTTTACCTTCGCTAGCTCCTCAAAGACCTCACCTTCAACTGTGATGAAATTAATTGAATTTTTACTCCTCCTGCTGCTGGCCATAATATGAAAAAAATAACTTAGTGTTTTTGTCCCCATTGATGGTCCAGTTGACTCTAGACTTTTGTTGCCATAGCCATTCCACCATTCTACTAAGCTTTCAAACTTCACCTCTCACTTCTCTTCTTCTAAACCTTTCAGCCTCCTCCAGAGGTCTACCTTCAGCCAGAATGTCCAATTCAACCAACTCCTCCTCTGCCTTCTTGAGTTTTCTTGATAGATTCCCAAAAACTTCAGAATTCCATTTTTTCAACTTTAACTTCAGAATTTTCAGTTTCTGAAACAAAACATACCCTGCTCTCCTAATAATTCTAGACTCATGCCAAACATTGTCCACGAATGAGGGAAAACTTGGATGAAGAGTCCAGGCATTAATGAACCTAAAAGGCTTAGGTTCCCAATCCGTCTCATCATCCATTAGCAAAATAGGACAATGATCAGAAAATAGCCTAGGAAGACCCCATAATTTGAAGTTAAACTTCAGCATCCACTCTGGATTAAGCATAATTCTATCTATCCTACTCCATTTCTCCCCATCTTGAGTGTTGCACCATGTGAACTTCCTGCCGAGCAATGGTAAATCATTTAACTCACAACTCTCAATGAAGGAATTTAGATCCAACATCCCCTTATCTCTTCTAGAACAACCCACCCTCTCACTAATATTCCTAATCTCATTTAAGTCACCCTCCAAGCACCATGGTTTTGGAAACTCAGATTTTAGCTTCAGCAAGGATTCCCAAAATTTACATCTACTACTCACCTCATTTGGTGCACACACATTCAAAATAGTATAATCAAATGAATTCAGCAAGGTCTCAGAGGGGAGAATAAATCTCCTACTATTATAACAATCTACCAATTGAAAAAAATTTGGGTCCCATATACAAAGTTGACCCCCAGCAGTCCCATCAAAATTCACAGCCATAAAATCCATGTTTCTCCTTCCTCACAATGCTCTGACTTCATTCTCAGAAATTGAAACTTTCTTGGTCTCCTAAAAAAGCACAAAATCAGTCTTACTTTCATATATGAGCTTTCTAATTCTTCCCCTATTCTCTAACTTCCCCAACCCTCTAACATTCCAAGACATCAACTTCATATGTAAACTGTTGTAGCACCAAAATCCCCATAAAGAGACTCAAAACTCATATTCTTTCCTCTTTTCCTTCCTCCTTTCTCTGTCAGCTAATTCCAGAGCAACCATCCTTTTCAAAGCTTCAAACCCTCTGCCATTATAATTGATGCCCAGGATTTTTCCTAGCTGAATGTTTGCTTGTGCCTCACTAAGGATGTGACTTCTACAGCAAGAGTTACCCTTTTTTGAAGTAGAGAGTGACAAAGCTGCCACAGCAACCCTAAATACAACACATATAGGGGTGGACTTACTAGGTGATGCACCTTTACAACCATACAAACAAGCTAGAGATTAGTACCCTTTTCACCTCTGTAATGGATTTTGTTGCAGTAGAAAATCTTACCTTACCTTTACCTTTCTTTTTTGACTTCTTCACACCAGATATGCTATCTATCACTCTATCTGGGTTTGTTTGCACTTGGTACATGTTGGGCCTGATGGAGGCCCAATTAGAAATAGAAGTTGACTGTGTATTTGGGGCCCTCACCACTAAACCCATTATGCTATTCTCCACTGGATCAAGGAAATGACCCAAGTTTACTTCCAGGTTAATACCAGGCCTTTGGCCAATAAACCCACTTAAACACCCAACAAAACTAGGTGTAACTAGCTATTCCTCAACCCTTAGATTATCACCACCGAGGGTGGTGGCCCAGTGGTGAAGGCATTGCCTTCCCACAGCCATGAGTCAAGTTCGACTCCTGGGGGGCGCAAAAAATCCTAGATTTTGTAGGGGCTCGCTTCGACGACCTCGCGCTGTACTCCGATCGAAGCTTGTCCGTGGTTGGGGTGGTTGATGAGCTCCACTGGTGCCTCGGTAGTGGGTCCCTTCCTATGGGTTGGGTTAAATCAGGTTGGCAACCGACTATCCCGGGGCCTGGGCCTACGGATGTAGTGATGACACCTCAGAACATCCTTTTTTCTGGTTAAAAAAAAAAAAAAACCCTTAGATTATCATCATTAGCCTCTAAGCTATGCTCTGTTACTGCCATCTCCATACGCTCCTCAACCACCAATATGTTCCCCACGCCACTTTAGGTCTCAGCCACTGCTGTGTCCCTATGATTGCTTATACTAGTCAATTCCAGCCTACTCCCTAGTGCCATATCACTAGAACTTGCCACCTCTACTTCATCGTCTTCCTCATTTACAGCCTGATTCTCCACAGTCTTATCACCACCCACCCACCCCTATAGGTTTAGGCTTATCGACCTCATTTGAACTATGGACTTCCTCAACCTCACTGGATAATATGCTTCCATACACCACTGAACTATGCGGTTGTTCTTCACAAACCATCACTGGATGTAGTCGTCCCTTGTATTCTAGATTAATGGTTGTATTGATAAACTCCATACAACCTGTAGCAATTCTGACTCTGCCATAACTAAAGCACTGTGGTTGGCTAATGTCCCCATCCAGACTAAGAGCACTACCCCAAATGTTACCGATCTTATTAAAGGTGCCCCTATTCCACATGCTGAGAGGGACACCACAACATCTGAGCCATATATATCGCTCTGGCTGTGCACAAAATCTTGGTTCCCAAACTTTGAGATATTCACACCAATCCTTAAACCATGTTTTGATCGATGATAGTTTTGACAACATATTAGCTTTTGATAAGAAGGTCAACACTACATCCCTACCACCTCCATTTCTGACCAGTACATGCCGCAATCCTTTCTCTTTTAGCACCTTCTTAATGCTCTGCATAGAATACTCTGTTTGGCATTTCAACAGGACGCTGTTATACAACCAGCTATGCCCCTCTTCATTAACCTTAATGGTAGATACTGCTTTCCCCGCCGGCATATTTACATCTGTTTTTAAAACATCAACAAAAGATCTCTGTAACCCATGACGATCTGGAGCATTTCTTCCCCTAATTTCATTTCCACCTATACCCCCTCCGGGTTGATTTCTTTTAGCTGCTCTATCTTCGAGTCTACCATATTCTGCCATTTTAACTTTAAGCTCCCTATCCTCTACCCATAAACAATTGGCTTTTTGGACTGCAACAGTTGCCGCCACTGAGCAACCAAATCTAGCAAAACCAAATCTAGTATTTGTTGTTTTCCTCCTCTTCTAAGGTATAAATACATCATTCACTATTCCAAACTTTGAGAATAGTTTAAATAGTGCTTTAGGATCCATATTGGAAGGTAGATTATCCACAAAGACGGAGAATAATCCCTTGTGACCTCCTTGCGCCAGGCTTCATTCCTTTTCGTTTGCTTGAATATTGGAATCCACCCACCTTGTTCCATTTTTTCCTCTTGAACTCACTGAATGACAATGAAACACTTCGAAACCACCTAATTCTTTCCTTCAATTCCAAACTTTGCCATTCACGAACACTACATGCAATAAAAATGGAGTTGTATTCTTTGTTTAATATGAGTTGCATTTGTGCTTTTTTAGCCAATTTATTTTACATATATCCTTTTTGAATTTTAATAAACTCTTTTTCATATTTATTGTGTAAAAAAAAAAGAATCACAAAATATATATTAAAAATAATAATTCTATAGATTGTGAAATCTAGCTCTGGAACAAGAAGCACCCGCTCCATCCTATACTCATATTTTTTTAGCTCACACAAAATTCAAACAAAAATTATGGCCTACTTGATCACAATCACACCCACAAAATTAAAATGTGATGTAAAGAGAAATATTTGATCAAGCACAACCACCCTCACAAAATTAAAAGGGTAAATTATACTTGTAGTCTTTATATATTGACACTTGTGTCATTTTGATCTATAATTTTAATTTGATCGATTTTGACATTAAATTTATAATTTTATCTCAATTTGGTCCAATTATTAAAATTGCTAATGTTTTTATGGAAAATATGCATATAAACAGCATGTGTTATATTTTTATAAACAAAATTATAAAATTATTCAACTTAATGAGTTAACCTTAACTAACTCATTCAACCAATTCAATGACCATTTAAAAAATAAAAAATAAAAAAATCTTAATCGGTATTATCAACTGGACCAAATTGACATAAAATCTAAAATTATGCGTCAAAATCAAGCTAATTACAATTGTAAGAACTATATTGACACAAACTGGCTTTTTTGTTTTTTTTTTTATTTAAAAATGTGGAAAAAAAATAAAAAGTGATGTGAATCAAAAAAGTCAAAAAGTCAAAAAACTGACTTTTAACTGTATTGCCAAAATAAATTAAAATATAAGGACTACCGATATGATTTTCCGAAATTAAAATGTAATGTAAAAGGAAATATTTGACCTGGCAGGTCATATAAGTGCTTTGTTGTGCGAAAAACTAGATTTGGTAGTCCTTAAGCTTTTCCTTTTTTTTTTTCTTTTTTTTTTCTTTCTTTTTTTTTTTTCAAAAAATAGTCAATTTTTTAAAGTTCTTTTGTGCATAGGGTTGCAAATGAACAGAATCGTTCATGAACAAGCTCGGCTCAGTAAGCGCTTGTTCGAACTCGATTCGTTAAATTTTTTTTTTGCGTTTGAGCTTGAGCTCAAGCTCTTTAAATTTTTAATAAATAATTCCAAACATTCTAAACTTGGCTTGTAAGATCGACTAGTTAGCGGACTCATTTAATAGTTATTATTTATATATTAAATAATATAAAAATATGTATAAAAAATAAAATAAATATATTATTTATATATTTAAAAAATATTAATGTAAATAATAGTTAACTGTAGATACTGCATTTATATAATAGTGGTAGTAGATATTATTATTTTGATAAAATATGAAATTTTTTTTAGAATGTTTATATATATTATATATAATTGTATAATCAAAGTTTTAATTGTAACTTTAGTTTCATAAGTAAGTATGAATTTATAAATTTTTTGGCACATTAAGGCTCGTGAATAGGATCTAGCTCGAGTCAAGCCTAAACCAACTTGGCTAGAGTTCGGTTCTTTAAATTTTTATCGAGTTCGACCTCGAGCTCGAATTTATTAAAATCTTAATAAACAAACTCAAACATATTAAAACTCAGCTCGACTTGACTCGTTTACAGTCCTACTTGTGCATCTAGGTTAAATGTATTAAATAGAAACTTGAGCAAAATATGAAATAATAAAAATAAAAATATACAAAATAAAATGACTTAAAAAAAAGTCAAAATCTCCCCTCTTGTTTTTCCCCCTTTTTTTGGGTACACAAAACCATCTTATACTAAAGTTACATACTTAAAAAATATCCATGGTTTAAAATGTGAACCATATTTATTGTAACTGTGATCCACAATAAATTAAATTTGAATCCATAAAATACAATTACTTTTCCAATAATTCTCATAATAAACTTTTTGAATTCCTAATTTCTTTCTATACATAAAGAATGCTTCTTAAAGAGGCAAAAAATAAAATAAAGTAAAATAAAATTAGAATGGAGAAACTGGTAGCACATGGACGGGTTCAGGTACCGAAATTGGTACGATACGAGTATGTTAATGTGGTAAATTTTTTTAAAAATAAGTATACGTACGACTGGGTACGTTTATAAAAAAAAAAAAGTAATTATTTTAAATTTATATTGATGCAAAAATTCGTTAAATGATTTTCTTTCGTATGATCCAAACTACAATTCACATTAATGTCAAAAGTAACAGTATAAACTAACATTAAATGTCATTGTACTAAATAACTTACAAACTATAACTTAATTTTAAAATCATATTAACAATAATAATAATAATAAAAGTCCAATAAAATTAATTTTACCCCTATATTAGAAGAAAACACTATTTCGAATGAGGTACAATTTGCTTGGGTATATACTAGGTACATTTG